TTTTTTTTTTTTTTTCTTGCAGGCCATCAAACCTTCTTCTGGACCAAAGCAATGCCGACATCACTACCTTCCGCACTACAGGTGACTGGCTTAATGGTGTCCGGACATCGCAGTGCAAAGACATCTTCACAGGTGTGGAGTACAGTTCTTGTGACACCATAGCCAAGATTTCCACAGAGTAAGAAAAGTTTTTATTAAGAAGAATGAACGATTCTATACTTTCTAGCAAACATACATATTTTGAATTAATGTTTTATAAAAATTTTAATTGGGCCTCTGAGTTACTTATTGTCTCCTCTCACAATTTATCTGGGCCCTAGGTTTCTTTGTGAACCACATCTTCTGGATTCTTGTATCTTGATGTATCTTCCTCCCTCATTGATTTAAGTCCTTCTTCAGATATACCAGTACATATACACCTGTACCCACACCCACAGACCCAAGACACTGATTTAAAACATAACCAGACATAGAATAATGATAATTATTTTCTGGCATAGTTTTATTCACAAAGAACTACAATTGGGAACTGGAAAATGAAGAGCTAGAAGCCATACTCTGCATCTCTCTGTATATGAGGGCCAATTTTACTCCACTTTTTGATGGGACTACATCACTTTTGCTTTTCCTGCTTTTTCTCATTCTCATGCACATAGCTAAAAATGGCTTTCTTGACTCTTGGTCATATGGCCTCATAGTACCACTTAACTGACTGGAGTCTAACTCTCTGAATTCTAAGTCTTCAGGAGAAAAATTCTGATGGGCTCAGCCCCACCCATAGGTTGGCACTGCCTGCTAATCAAAAGGTCCACAGCTCTAATCCCAGCTCTAATAATAAGGTGGAGACTCTGTGGGGTAGTTCTACTCTGTCCTATAGGGTCACTATGAGCTGGAATTGACTTGAGGGCTATTTTTTTTTTTTTTTTAAATCATTATTTGCTAAAAGAATTGGGTTGAGAGTATGAAATTGACTTGAGGGTCTCTTTCCTGAGGGTAGCACTGAAGACTTTCCCAAACGAGAAGGATTTGTGCTGGGAAGATGCATCAAAAGTTGTCTAGAATATGCTAACTTACATGTTCTGTTTGGAAACTGTGTCCATCTTTCTGTCAGAGTCTACCTGTGATCTCTGTTACATTAAATAAATTCTTTAGTCCCCTCAAATTCTCTTCAGTCCAATCCTTTCCAAACTAACGTTTGAATACGTAAATGCTGTTGTTAGACATCATTATCACCCTGTCAATCATTTAAACAAAGCCACCATGGAGAGCAACAGACTGGACATCAAAAAGGAGAGTTCAGCATAATTAATAGAGATAGAAATGCCCAACAAAGAGATAAATACATTTATAGTTTATGGTATAACAATACAATAAGAATCACATAAAGCTGCAAAAGAACCTACAAAAAGGGTTTATTACTATTGGAGAGGAGAACTTGTTCTTAAAAAATAAACTCACCCTAGTCTATTTAACATGTGTTGACATTCCTGTTTGAAGTATAATGTAGTGTTTATTGAGATTTCTGATCCAGTAGACAATTTGTTTTGAGATTCTGTGGTAGTTATTTTTATTAGACATAATCCCAGGATATACTGAGATATTTAAATACTTTTATAAATTATTATTTTAGTATATAAACTGTTAGGGCTATGATATACAAGGCACCTGCTTTAAAGCACAAAAGCACAGCAAAGAACAAACATTACGTTGAATATTTCTGCACCATTGCCAGATTTACAAACGCAAACTTACACAAACGTTTTTTAGCAATAAAATATCAACACTCAGGGCTTTCAGATAATGAAACACTATATTGAACTGGATGAGGCAGAACACAGTTAATAAGATTAACTGCTAGTTCACAATTTAAATATAGCTATTATAAGCTTGCGAATGCAGTAAGAATATTATTTGCTAAAAAACGTGCAATGACAGCGTTTGTTATACTTCCAAGTTAATGATGTATTTGACTCAACAAACCAGCGTTGGACGTTAGACTCTTTCAGGCTGGTTAGAATATTTTCATTTCATTATGATTACTATTTAAACAATCTGTGAATATACATCAAGATGAATGTTGACTTTTCCTGAGATTCTTGGCTTTTTCAAATTTGTCCTTTATAGAAAAAAAAAGATCCTGATATCTCTGTATTTCACCTTCCCAGATGGTTTTTGATTCTTCTGTCCTTTCTCTTCAACTCAGGAACAACACAGAATCCACATTTATTGACCTAATGCTCCTTGGAAGGAATTGTTATTCAGGATCTTTGCAGTGCTGTGTATATCATACTCCTAGTTTATATTACAAAATGAGAATTTATTAAAAAAATTTACTATGCTCATAATTTGGGGCCATGGTGGCACAGTGCTTAAGCATTTGGCTGCTAACCAAAAGGTTGACAGTTCAAATCCACCAGCCTCTCCTTGGAAACCCTATGGGGAGGTTCTATTCTGTCCTATAGGGTTGCTATGCTTCGGAATCAATGCAACCGCAACGGGTTTGTTTTATTTTTTTTAATGCTCATAATTTGGGTAAATTTAATAAACCAGCATTTTCACCTTATATGCTATGAAATACTTAGCTAGATATTTTACTTTCTTCTTGCAGTCTTGAATTTATTATTTGAATTTGATTACCTTCAATCGCCGTTTTTCTTTTTTTGTTATCCAGATTCATTTTAGAAGATGATTTGTTTAATCAAAAAAAAAAAAAAAAAAATCTAGAACGTTTCCTATAGATATGCCTTAACAGAGAATATTGATTTTTTTTCCTTTCCAGACTATCCAGTCGGAGAAAAAGCTCAATAGAGCTTTATGCTAAATAAAAATTAATTTATTTTAGTTAATTTAGGTATTTCATTTATATATGAATTACTTAAATCACCTAATTTTCAGATAAAGTCCCCCAAAACCTGCAGTTTTATTCAATAAACCTAACATAATTTTTAAAATATTATTTCGTAGTCTAAGATGGATTCAGGAAGTTTACAGTGGACATAAGGAAAGGACAAGAATGACTAGAATCTGAAGGGAAAAATCAACAATGTGTGAAATGAATATTAGGCAGATTAATTGCTACTGTGTCATCACCCTGCACCCTTGGATACCATTTTCAAAACGGCACCTCCTATTCTTTGCCTTTGAAGCAGTAGATACCACATCTGCAAATTGTGCTGCACTTTAATCTTGATTTTTTTTTTTACCACTCTTCTGAATAAGATAATCAAAACGAGCAAAAGGGAGTGTTAGCAAGACTGCAACAGCTATAAATTTAGAACTATTTTGCCCATAGCAGGGTGGTGGGCGGAAGACATTGATGGGGTAGAAAATGTCAGCTAAGGGATAAACTAAAGGGGAAATTTCTTTCTTTATCCCAAAGTTCAGTATGTTCCTTTGTATTAAATATAAAATAAAAATTTATATATCTGTCCTATTATATTGAGTTTCTGGAAGGAGAATCTGAGTCAGTTTCATGCAGAACATTTCTTGGCGAGTATGCTTGGGAGCTACATCTGAAAAGGACCAATGAGGGAAAGACTAGACAGAGGGTGTGGTCTCAGTCCTTTCTATTGGGACAGGAGTTCTGGAGCCAGGATGACCTTCCAGAGCTGTTTCAGTTTGGTCTCTGAGTTCTCTACACTCAAATTTCTCAGAGGTCACAGAATTAGCATACTGCACTGGAGCACTTTTTCTGTTTTCTCCATCATTTTGTTTTTTAAGCTTATAACATAAGATAAATGGGAGAAATAGAAAAAAAATCAGGGAGTAATAAAAATGTGATATAGAATTTGAAGAAAGATAAAGGAAGAAAATCAAAGAGTGTAGCTCTATTGACATCTCTTCTGTTCTCTGCCTCTAGACTCATAACTTGACTTTGTTATAGCATGGGGACGTGTGAGGAAATGTTCTTCATTTTAAAGTTAGATCCATAATATATAAAGAATCAAAATGCCATGAAACACACATCCTCAAAAAACAGGGCAAGAGATAAACATAAAAGGTATGTTAGCAATCAATCATGGGATGGTGCAGGACCAGGTAGTGTTTTGTTCCATTGTGCATGGGGTCGCCATGAGTTGAGGTTGGTTCTGTGGCAGTAACAACAACTCTAAGTGAAAGCGCTCAGTTTTACCAAGAGAGTGGAAGGTCTGATGTCACCATACTTCAAAATTTGCCTTTTTAGTGAAGTGAAGGCAGCTAAAGAATGTGATAAGAGAGGACCCCAGGCAAGATACAAGTTGTCCATAGAGAATTTATCAGCTCCTTGAATGGCAACAAGGAGGGATCATGCAGGTCATCAGGAACTGCATTCCCAGCCCAGGTGATAAGGATACAACGTGGTCTTGATTAAGACCATGTTGTTTAATTAGTTCATGCTAAAATAATGTGTACATTACTTCTCAAAGGGTAACCTATTATCTATTTGCACGCCTTTATTGCTTGGGAACTCACTTCTTAAGGAATTAATTAGTTCATTTCTAAGCAGTTGAACTCCTAAGTTTTTCATTTCTTTGTTTATGGTTGCTATAAAGAAATAAGCTCTGGGTGTGTCTTTCCTTTCTCAATTGGCCTGAATCTCCTTGCCAAATGGTCATTTACTACCCTGTTAACTTCCTAGATAAACATATTTTGGATTATTGATTCATTATTTTAGTAAATACATGTTGAGCAGGGTGCTGTTGATAAACAGAATATAAAACCGAGAAGAATTCCTGCTTATATGAAGCTCACCTTCTAGTGGGACAAGCCAAAGACTACAGAAAATACACCTGAAAAGAAGGCAGTATGCAGGATGGTGATAAATGCTTTGGAGAACTGTGAAACAAGGAAGGCAGATAGGAAGAGCAGGTATAAGTGTGAGGAGCTCTGACAATACTAAAAAGGAGGCCCAGGCACGGTCTCATGAGAGGGTGATATTTGAGCAAAACTCTGAGTGATTTGAAAGCACGACCTAATTTCTTGAAACAAGAATATTTAATTAGTTGTTTGTAGATATTTCTCTAAATCATTTTTCCCTAAATGAAAGTCCTTTTGTAATTATAATCATTTTTTCCACAGCTGGTTTCTAATTTTGCACAATTTGAAATTTAATATTATTGATAAATACAGATATATAGTTCTCATTTTTAATTTTTTTGAAAGAATAGTGATCAACTTTATACTTTAATTATTTATGGCTGCATAACAAACTGCCCCAAAACTTAGAAGCTAAAACAACAACAATTTACTAGTTATCACAATGTTATGGGTTAGGAATTTGAGCAGAGCTCAGGTGAAGGATTATTCTGCTCTAGTATGGGTGTTGACTGTAGTAGTCAGCGGACAGACGGGCTTGTCTGGTATGGAAGGTTCCAGAAAGCTTCATTCATATGCCTGGCCTTGGTGTCATGTATAAAACAAAAACACCACCTGTATAGCTTCTCCAAATTGTGGTCTGAGGGTAATCAGACTTCCTATATGGCAGCTGTAAGGTCCCAAAGAGGGTGTTTCAAGAGATAAAACGTTAAAGCTGACAGTTTCTTGAGTGCAGAAACTAAAACAATGTCAAGTGCAGGTTTGAGTGCAGAAAGCAAAACAGTGCCACTTCTGACATATTCTGTTAGTCAAAGCAGCTCCAGAGCTGGCCCAGATTTAAGGGAGGTGATAAAGCCCTACAAAGAATTTGTGACCATCTGTATTCTTCCACAGAATAGAGGTGGATTAATCAGGATGTAACACTTGTGCAATGCAAAAATCAGAAAATTAGGTCTAAAGCACTGGGATATAGGATTGTGGAAGTTCTGTTAGTTGAAAACCTCCTACTTATGTAATCTCCAGGAGACCATAATTCTCACCAGGTATTTTCTCCTTTTGTACAGTGACATGAAAAAGGTCGGAGTAACTGTGGTTGGGCCACAGAAGAAGATTATCAGTAGCATTAAAGCTCTAGAAACACAATCAAAGAACGGTCCAGTTCCGGTGTAAAGTGCTACTTCTGGAAGGAAATGGTGGCTGTGGAAGATGTAGCATCACTTTGCAGACAGATGATAATGCTGGTGATCCTGGAGGAAGTTCCAAGCCCAATAAGACACTCAGATATGAGTACAAATGCCTTAAAATAAAATTGAAAAACTTTTATTTTCCCCTATCATTTAGTGGATGGGTGGGCGGGAGTACGTTGTTTTGTAATTGCTTTCTTATGTTAGAGAATGGATTAAATTAAAATTATTCAATGCAAAATGGTGAAGAATTAGCATAGAGCCATTGATCACAAACTGTCATAAAAGTAAAACAAGTGAAAGAACAAAATGGTGGCTTTGTTTAGCAATAGCCACAAAAGAGAAGACTAGCAATATTTTTATACACAGAAGAAATGTGCAACAGGTATTTTGTTTCTTTAAAAAGCAAGCAAAAGAGAGGGATTTATACCTCAAACTATCTGGCCATATTTACTACCTTATTGTATTATTCTCTTCTATCTGTTAAAAGTTGAAGTTTGTAGTTGTTTTAAGTACTACACATTTTTAAATTGTTAGCTTCCTTAAGTATTATCATGTAAAAATGTGTCTTAATTTTTGAAAACAAATACATATTTATTTTCTTTTGAATTGTTTTTATTATTTTATATTTATGCCTTGGTGATTTAATTTGGATTTGTTACAGCCAAGTGCCAAATGGTCTCTCAAATTGTCAGCAGTAGGAAAAATGGTTAGCTAAACATAGAGAACGATGGATTTGTTTCCAGATTTTTTGAACCATCTACTTACAAATGTATCTATAGGAGAAAATGAAACCCTTTCCCTGTTCATATACTAATTAAATCTCTCAGAGTCAGAATTATTCATCCATTTTTGTCTCTTCATTTCTTATATACAGTATGCTCCTAAATTAGTGTAATATGCTGGCTTGTATGTAAAGGATTCTTAACCAAATAACATACTTGCCCTGTTCTGGTGCTTAGCAGACTATCAGCTCTCTTCCATTTGTGAAGGAGCCATGTTAGAGCTCCTGAGTAGAGAATAGCTACACTGTACAGAATTGGATCCTATTTAGATTGTTGCATTAATTGGCAGCATAGCCAATAGTTCAATGCATGAGTCAAAAAATCGCTTGCTGCCTGGCTTTGAAAAGACACTGTATCTTTGCTTAAACTCACTAAGGTGTTTATAGGAAATGATAACTGAACTATTTACATGCATCACTGGGGTATAGGGTCAATTAATTAAACACTGTCATCATCAATACCAGGTACAATTATCTTTAAGAGTCTTCCACTACAGTGCACCTATTGTAATTTTGATGTCTAACTTAAAAGCATTGAACTTCTTCACATTTATTGAGCATATCAATTTCAAAATAGCTGGTCATCTAGCTAATTACTAAAAATCTGTAGGCAGTGGAGAGATCTCTTTTTACAGGGATTTAGACTTACTGTTCCATAAAAATGTACTGGTGGTACAGCGGTTAAGCACTCTGCTAACAGAAAGGTTGGTGGTTTGAACCCACTAGCTGCTCGATGGGACAAAGATGTAGCAGTCTGCTTCTGTAAAAATTTACAGCCTGGGAAACCCTATGGGGCAGTTCTACTCTGTCCTGCAGGGTTGCGGTGAGTCAGAATATACTCAGTGACAGTGGGTTTGGTTTGGTTTTGGTTCCATAAAAGCCAATTATAAGTATGCTCAGTAATATTTGAAAAGGTGTACCTGATGAAGATTTAGCTACTAATATATTCTGAAGCAGCATTTTAACTGTCTATACTTTTCTAATGCTGATATATTGATCATTTCATGGGTATAGGAAATGCATATAACACTAGAATAAAATGGATAACACAATGTTGCAACCTTAACATTCTTATGCAAAATGAAACGCTAATGAAATACTGCCCACAATCACAGTTCAAAATTCACAAATGCTAATCTGTTGTAAATTTAGTGTAATAAAGCTTAAGTTGTGTTCCTTCAGATATGAAATTGTTTCTCAAATTCTGGAAATACTGCTTATAGTAAAATCAACCTACTAGAATTCTTTATTGGATGTATAAGAGCATGAACTTTTTAAAAAGATATATGGGATTATAAAATTAATCACAGATTTTACTTAAAACTGCTAGCAGCAGGTAGAAAAATATTTTTTTAAATAAACATTTCGTGTTGTGGAATGTTAGATTGAGATTTAAATCTGGTTTCAATCTCATTTCCTCCCAGACCAGTGTTTACTTTTTTAGATACTATTCTAAGCATGCTCAACAAAATCTGTGCATTTCATAAACTCATTGAAGTTGAGGATTGGTTGGATCTACTTCATTTATTTTGGCTGTGTTTTCCTTTTGAAAGTAGAGGTGTACACAATATTGCTCTTCATTTTTCAATACTTTTCTACCGGACCTCTTATAAATTTACTTCACACAATTTTTACCCTGTACATATGTAAACATAACAATGTATGATTCTTAACTGTGCGGTAGAGGTACTAGAATGCTTGTGGCCATCTCTTTGTACAGGAATTGCATTGATTTCCAATAAACAGGAAACCACAACTCCTTCACAATAATATGTACCATATTATGTGTTTTGTATCTTAAATTTAATTTACGTATATTATTTATTTCTGTTAACATACCCAGTTTATGCAGTATTAAGCATCAATTAAGCCATGTATAAATGTGATATCATTAGCAATATGTATTTACTTTAAACTTGTATTTTCAAAACATTACTCATTTAGTTTATGTTGTGCAATTGTAGATGGCCTCTTACTAATGTAAAATGATTTGTAGTGGAAACATTTATATTTTTATAATAAACGTAATGAAAATATTTTTTACAGATTGGAATACAGAAGTGGTCTTTGAAGCTTTTTAAAGTTATTATAAATATATGTGTTTATTAAAGCAGTAAAGCTATGAAATTTATATGTTGCTAAAAATGTGCTTCTTTTTCCTCTATTAGTGAGGAGAGATTTGTGTTATGTAATTCACACTTTTCTACAATTCAAATCTCATTATCAATAAGCTAGAAAAAGATCAGTAAATGTTTTCTTCATATGCTTACTGTACACAACTGTATTAGACAATTGTCTTTTGTTTACATGTAACAAAAAATGGAACAAAACAAAACAAATTAGCTTATGGAAAAAAGAAATTATTGGCCCATGAGACCGAAAAGTCTGGAGATGGACTTCCTAGATGAGAGATCAGGCACAGGTGAATTCAGCTAAATAAAGGTAAAAAAGATATTTATTCATTCAATACATATGTATTAAGGACCATTATGAGTGAGCCATTTTGCTATCACCATTTATAGGTCACCTCATTAAATATTTACAATAATCCTGTAAATGAATTTTTTCCAACTTTCCATAGATGAAATTCAGAATGTCCAAGTAATCTTGCCCTGGCCACCCTAGTAAATAGATGAACAGATTATTTCAAACTGGAATCTTCTTATTCTGTGTTCCTTTTCTAATATTATTGTTACCCTGATAACCAAATGCTCTGTGGACAGTGAAAGTGGCAACTTGCAAAAGATGATATTGGGGAGAAACTGTAGGTTAAATTGCCTATATAATGCTAGAAATCTATTTTGGAGTTCTAGGCATGAATAGATGTAGTTACTTTAGGATGGTGGTATGAGGAATGTGAAGAATGGAATGCATACAAAGACACATAAGGGAGAATTAACAGAATTTACCAATTTGATATGAGGATTTTTCAAAAGAAAGAATCAAAGTGAGCCAGAATATGTAGGTTCTGAATGTCTGTGGAAATGATAACACTATTAGTAGAAGCAGGGAATAAGGAGAAGTCAGATTAACAGCAGAACCTCAGAAAGTTAATAGCTATTAATAGGTGAGTCTGAAGCTTTAGAAAAAGGAAATCAGGGATAAAGTATATATAAAAAAGTATACCTGATACTATGTAAAAATCTACATACGTTTATTTGTAGGGCTATATACATATACTCTGAGCAGGTTTGAATTAAGTTAATGCTAGCTGCTGTAATAGTTAAATCCCCAAATATCAGTAGTTTAAAACAACACAAAATGATTTTAAAAAATAATTCAATATAGATGTTTGGCAAGAGATCTTGCTTGTAATGATTCAAAGCCTACACTTTCTCCATATTTTGGCTTACAGGACTTAGTAATCTTTTGCTTCTAACTAGTAAAATGGAGGGAGGATTTTCTGCGGTAGATTTTTATGAGCTATGCTTGCAAGTGGCACATATCACTTCTACTTTTATTCAATTCTCAAACTCCAGCATATGGTTGCCCTTAACCACAAAAGTTTTAGAAATGCAGTCTAATAACATGCCTCAATACAAGACAGTTTTTGGAATACATATAGCAGTCTCTGCCACAGCTTCTTCTTACTTGCATATATATATTATGTACAAGGCACCCATCTGTAAATTTGTCATACTATGGTGGCTTGTGTATTGCTGTGAGGCTGGAAGTTATGCCATCAGAGTTTCAAATACTAGCAGAGTCACCTGTGGTGAACAGGTTTCAGTGGAGCTTCCAGATTAAGATAGGCTAAGAAGAAAGGCCTGGTGAACTACTTCTGAAGGTTAGCCAATGAAAACCTTATGAATCACAACAGAACACTGTCTGACTCGCTTTGCACACATTATCTGGAGAGATCAATCACTGCAGAAGAACATCATGTTTGGCAAAGCAGAGGGCCTCTGTGTAATGGATTGGCACAGTAGCCTCAGCGATGGACTCAAACATTCTGGCAATTGTGAAGACGATGCAAGACCAGGCACCATTTTGTTCTGTTTTACGTAGGGTCACCATGAGTCAGTGTAGACTCCACAGCAGCTATCTGTCTGTCTATTTATCTATCTATCATCTAAGAGGCAGACAATTCTAAAGGCATTTTAAGGATACACCAGTCCCCTTTTCCCTCCACCCACTTCTTATCTCTTTTCTCTCATTATTTGAATCAAGTAGCTCTATTAATGGTATCTGTGGCAGATATAGGAGCTTGCTACTCAGATTCCCTTCAAGATAGAAGTTATTGCGAAGAGAGCAGTTCTTTCGCTGACAGCCTCAAACTGCTGTACTTTTAGGATATCCAGCA